GGATGGTGGGGCGTGGGGGAGGGGTGAGGGGGAGTCTGCGGTGCTGTAGATAGCTCCTGCTCACATTCCTCACACGTTTAACTTGCACTCTGAACTCTCTCCAAACATTCTTGGTCGTAAAGTGCACCACAGCACCACCTGTTGAAACCCAGCACAGACCAGCGACCCAGTGCCCCCCCCCCCCCCCAGCCTCGAACATCTCTTTCTGTTCTGTAGCTCAGCTAACGTTTACTTTCAGATGTGACGGTCGATTAAAGACGGACCAACTGTAGAGTTCTTCTTCTTCTTCTTCTTCTTCTCCTTCTTCTTCTCCTTCTTCTTCTTCTTCTCCTTCTTCTTCTTCTTCTACTTCTACTTCTCCTTCTTCTTCTCCTTCTTCTTCTTCTTCTTCTACTTCTACTTCTCCTTCTTCTTCTCCTTCTTCTTCTCCTTCTTCTTCTTCTTCTACTTCTACTTCTCCTTCTTCTTCTTCTTCTACTTCTACTTCTCCTTCTTCTTCTCCTTCTTCGTCTTCGTTGTAGTTTTTTAAATCGAAAACGTTGGGTTTTTCTCCTCCTTCTGAGAAACATCAAAGAACTGACGTACAAATCACAGGCAACCTCCCTCCCCCACTCCCTCCCCCATGTCCCCTGAAGGAAACATATGATTCCAACAAATGCTCACTCACAGTGATGTGCCAGAGGGGCAAGAAGGCATGAGCTGGAACTGAACCAGAACACACACACACACACACACACACACACACACACACACACACACACACACATCTGTCCTCCCACTGTAACTGCAGATACAACTGTGTGTTTCATGTTTATTTTTATTCATCACATGTACGTGGAGAATACACCGACCAATCACAGTCTAGGACAGAGTGGGACAAACTCTGAGGGACAAACACGGGACAAACTCTGAGGGACAAAGGGTCATTCATTCATATTAACGTCATATCACGTACAAGGTCGCTCTTCATCATCATCATCATCATCATCCTCTCCTCAGAGCTGCAGCTCAGAGTCAGGGAGCAGCTCCAGCAGGAGGCGGTGTTTCACTGCATGAAACAGGATTAACTAGCACTGAAGGCTAACGTGCTGCTAATTACACTTTAAAGGCTCAAAGAGGATCAAAGTGGCACATCAAAGGACTTCTTCTTCTGTTTGTTGTTTGATTTGAACGTCTCTGACTCAGTACAGACTAAATACAAACGAAATATAAAGGAAATATATCTGTGACCTACGTTGGTGACCTTTTCTCTTCTTTAAATATTTAAAACTGAATATTGAACGTTCTCCAGTGGTTCCACGTCCAAATGTCTCTGTAGATTATTGTTGTTTTTGTTCTTTCTGATCCTTCATGGTGGATGTTGTTCTCTGACTTCCTGTCTCTGGTCCTGTCTCTGGTCCTGTCTCTGGTCCTGTCTCTGGTCCTGTCTCTGGTCCTGTCTCAGTCGTCTCTGTCCACTGAGCTCATTAGAAAGTTCAACCAGACGTCTTCCAGGCCGGTCTTTAGACGTTCACGCTGGTGCAGGATTCACTCGGCTAACGCTGGGATTAGCCTGGATTAGAGACAAATGACGGCTAATCCTGTGGCCTTTAATGAAATGAAGACGTCTTTTTGGTCTCTGAACGTTTTTACTAATGAGCTCTTCTGCTGTGACTTTCACACCGTCCTCGTGGAGTCGGTTCTGTGCAGAACTAGAACTGGAAAAGTTGTTCCAGCACCCGGGTGCCGGGGGGTGTCTCCTCTGTGCTGCTGTGTTTCTATTTACTGCCCTGGACTGAGGTCTGCTGCCCTGGACTGAGGTCTGCTGCCCTCTGGTGGTCACCCGTGAATGTTGTGAATGTTGAACTGTCGACGTCTTCTTTCCCTTTGACTCTGGACCAGTTCTTCTCTGTGACAAACCAGTGGTCCAGTGGTGTGAAGTCGTCACTGCAGTTTCTCTGAGCACTGAAAAGAGCCAGTGGTTAGTGATGTCATCAGTGATGTCATCAAACTGCAGACGTGCAATCTGTGGTTGACCACAGTGTGGCGCTGACCCTCTCAGCTGGACCCTGGATTGTTCTGTGTGAAAATATTTTCTTGCAGGTCACCTACCTGTCACCATCACTGCTCTGACTCCTCCCCCCGCTCCTCCCCCCCCTCCT